TAGTAGTAGTAGTAGTAGTAGTAGTAGTAGTAGTAGTAGTAGTAGGTGTAGTAGTAGGTAGTAGTACGTAGTAGTAGTAGTAGTAGTAGTAGTAGTAGTAGTAGTAGTAGTAGTCGTCGTAGTAGTAGTTGTTGTTGTGGTAGTACCGGCCTCCTTAAGCCAAGGCTTGCTTCAGTCTTGAGGGGCCTGGGGTTTTGGCGATTATTGAGGGCTTGGCACCAGGGGTTTATGATGGTATAGGTCAAGAAACCCACAAAGGCTAGTACACATTTATAAGGAATATGTAGAGGCTGCTATAAGGAGCCCTGCAATGTGTCAATCGCTTTGGGCTGTCGAGTTCTCAGTGGTAGGGCTTTCTTGCTTTTGTTGAATGCCTTTTTCCCACTGCGGACAGAGGAATCCCAACGAGAAGGCGAGTGAAACAGACGAATGATGAGTTGACGGAAGTCGGAACGAACTTACCTGTGCACAGTGACGTGGACCTGCCTGTGGACAGTTACATGACTGGTGAGAGTCGGTAGTATGCGTCATGGAGGGACTTATGAAGCAAGCTGGAGAATGTGTTTGGGTGATTGATAACGGTCGAGATCCAGCTCCAGTTCGGTATCTTTAAGGTCGTCAATGTCCTCAGAGTTACCAGATCACATCACTCAGCACCATTTAAGCATTCGCTGTGCCGGCAAGTGTCGTTGGGCTCGAGCCCAGAGCCTGAAAGCAGGGCCAGACTCTTCATGACAGTGGCAGTGGAAGTAGCAAGCGCAGTCGGAGTCGGAGCAGGAGAAGGTGTCGGAGTAGGGGTAGGAGTAGGAGAAGGAGCAGAAGCATGAGTAGGAGGAAGGAGGGAGGGGAAGCAGCGGAAGGGGAGTAGGAGTAGTAGTAGAGTAGTGGTAGTAGTAGTAGTAGTAGTAGTAGTAGTAGTTGTTGTAGTAGTAGTAGTAGTAGCAGTAGTAGTAGTAGTAGTAGTAGTAGCAGTCGTACTAGTAGCAGCAGTAGCAGCAGAAGCAGCAGTAGCAGTAGTGGTATTTCGTAGCAACAGCAGCAGCAGCAGCAGCAGCAGCGGCAGCGGCAGCTGCAGCGGCAGCGGCAGCGGCAGCGGCAGCGGCAGCAGCGCTTAGTAGAACCAGCAAGCAGGAGGAGGAGGAGGGAGGAGCAACAATTCGAAGCTGCAGCTCAGCAGGCCTGAAAGTTGCCCCAGGCAGGCAAGGCCATTGTGCCAGCTGCCGGCACGGTTGCAGGCCATGAGGCAGGAGTTGAAGGTCATGACCTTCCCCCGAGTTCGGATCTTGTAGAACTACTGCATGGGCTGAAGTACATTGGCCTTGCGTGACGGGGCAACATCACCAAAGCTCTTTAAGCTGTGATCTCGTGGCATAGATCATGCGGATTCGGGAAGCAGCTTACCAAGCTCCAAAAGACCCAGACCCAGACCTGAACCCGGAATCCCAAACCTGAACGAAAAAGTCCGCAGCAGCCTGCGGCTCACCTCTTGCATCCCTCAGCTCAGCTAGCAGTGCAAGAGCCGGAGTCCAGGAGCTGACGGCCTCCAACGTGATCCAGATGTTTAGGAACCGAAGTTGTGGGTCTACGCAGGCTTGTGGTAAGCTTTGGTCGAGATGCAGAGTTTGGGGTGGCCAAGGTGGGAAATGTGCAAAACGATCCAGACGTCGTCTGGAGGCTTTAAAACTTTACGAGTTGAACACTTCTAATTCTAGCGTCAACCTCATAAACGGCCCGATTATTACTCTCATTGCACCACTCCTTCCGTTCTCTCCCCAACCTCGCAAGCAGTGATGGCCTCAGTGGCGCAGGTGGCGAGGTTGGGAGTAAGACTTCCGACTTGGCATGGCAACATCCACGCGCCCGCCTTTGCGCCGTTTCAAAACTTGCGCTTCCGGTTTTGGTTTCCGGAGTCAGGATTCTGCCCGGAAGGCCCGAACTGAAACAGATTAAAAGCCCTCCACATCCAAGCCTTCCCCGAGTTTTGACTCAGTGGCCGCCGTGTAGGAGATGGCATTGGCCTTCGCGATTTACTGCGCCATCAGTAGAGCATGGAGGAGACAATGAACGCTCGCATTGGTACAATAATCAATAGTTACTCACACTTAGTACACCATCACCAAAGCATGAAGGAGAGGATGAACGCAACTTATGTCATTGTTGACTATGGCAAAAGAAGGAACATGTAATATCCATCATAGACGACATCCGTTGCCATGAGGACGACGGCGACAACAACAACAACAACACCAGCAGCAGCAGCAGCGCAACAGCACCAGCAGCAACAAAACAAGAACAAGAATACCAAGACCAGCAACTAGAAGACCAACAACAAGCACACCAACGCAAACGCAGCAACAAACACAACAAGCACAACCACCACCACAACCACAACCTCAACCGCAACCACAACCACAACAACAACAACAACAACAGCAGCGACAACTGCAAACAAAACACAGAAGATGGATGGATGGATGGATGGATGGATAGACCAGACAGACAGCCAGCCAGCCGGCCAGACAGACAGCCAGACAGACAAACAGGCAAACAAACAGACAAGCCGACAAACAGACAGACGAATAGATAGATAAGTAGGTAGGTGGGTAGATAGAACAGATAGATAATAGGTAGACAGACAGGCCGATGGATCAGTGGCTAGATAGATAGATGGATGGACAGATGGATAGGTAGATGGATAGTCCGGCAGGTAGACAGATAGATAGATAAATAGATAGGTAGACAGAAAAACAGATAGGCAGGTAGGTAGATACATCGGTAGATAGATAGGTAGCTGGGTAGGCAAGTGGGTTAGTTGCCGTAGTAGTGGTAGTGGCTGTGGTAGTAGTAGTAGTAGTTGTTGTTGTTGTTGCTGTTGTAGTAGTCGCAGTGGTAGTACTAGTCGTCGTAGTCGTAGTCGTAGTCGTAGCAGTAGCAGTAGCAGCAGCAGCAGCAGAAGCAGTGGTAGTGGTAGTAGTAGGAGTAGCAGGAGTAGAAGTGGTAGTGGTAGTGGTAGGAGGCGGACTAGTAGTGGGAGTAGTAGTTATTGGTAGCAGCAGCAGCACGACAACGACGACGACGACAAGCAGCAGCAGCAGCAGCAGCACCTGCAGCAGGAGCAGTGGCGGCACAGCAGCGAGCACAATGGCTGCTGGAGGCTGCATGGTGGCCTGATCAACGTGCAGCCTTCTCAACACTCACCCACCATTCGACTGAGAAACTCAACCCATCTCAAGCCCCAGTGCTCAGTGCAACTTGGGGAGAGCCACATGCCCTTTGAGACCCTCAACTTCCGGAAATTGCTTTTTCAATGCTGGCACGGGCCTCTATGGCATACTCCTGGAGATCCCGGAGCAAGACGAGGGAGCCGAGCCATTGCCCTCCTGCTTTGCTTCGGCTGCACGTTTCAGGATTAAGGCTTCGCATCAAAATAATAATATTCCTGATAACATTAATAGTAATAATGAGAAGAAGAAGAAGCAGAAGAATGTTGCGAGCATAGGATCCCGCGCAGCTCCTTTTTCGCATGCAGAGATAGCGAGGTTGCATGCGACGATGTTTGGCTGAAGCTCCTGCCAGGCCCGCAGCACATTCGTTCTGTCAGGCAGGAACTCGGGCTATGCGCAGAGATAATGTCAGATGCCGTACAGTTAGCAGCTAAAAGTATCCAGGCTGTTGAACATGCATTCTACACTGCAGGGTCTAGGCATATGATGGAATGGTCAGTGGCGCTTTGCTGTCCAAGCCCTGCAGACTATCACAAGTGTACTTTAAAGGGGCCTTGATAATTGGAATAGGGTTTTGGGGTATGTTATATCATAGTTTATAACTGCAACACGGAACCCCCAAATAGGTAGCTACTAATGCCCCTATATTGCCACGACTACGGCCTGGGCCAGATCTTACCTGAGTGGCTCCTGACAAATGAGCTCGGCGAGGAGCTCCAAAGCGGCCTCGCAATGGAGCTTGGGTCTTCAGGACAAAAGGGGCGAGTGGTTCTCTAGTGCATCGGCTCGAAGACTAAAGACTAGACGACGAAAAGACACACTGCAACCTGCCGAGCCTAACGGCCTAGAGCGTGCAGAGCGATTCAATCCACGTTCGAACAATGTCGTCTTCGTTGGCTTTGGGGGGCTTTGGGCTTGCCGCAGGCTGGCACGCGGCACTGCAGAGGTTCCGCATGCAGTCCACGCTTTGTATATCTCCTCTGCGAACATCAGCAGACAATTCTCGGCGAATCTTGCACGCTGCATACATGACCTTGAACTGCCCTAAGCCGTACTTTTCGGATGGCCTCCCACTGCTCCCCGCGGCCGACGGCGTTGATCGCAGAACCTGACAGCCGAAGTCAACTCTTCACCCCATTCCGAGCTCTCTGATAGCCGCTGTCCGATACTCGTTTTTCTTCAGTCTGGCTCTCAACCGCGGTCTTCTGTAGCGCAGGATCTTTGACCCTTCACGAGACCGTGGGATGCGAGCTTTGCTCAAGCATCTGCAGCTGCATCAACGTTTTTACGACACTGCAAGTGCGCGGGTTCTCCCGCGCTCAAGCGTCAAGAGTGGAAGTGCCTGCTAGCTGGGCCTCAGCAACTGCTCGTGAATCTCGAGGGCTCCCATTCGAGCAGATCAAAGGGACTCTTGCACGATCAGTCGCTGCACTGCCATGGGATTTCGATGCTCCTGTGACGTTTACTGGACGGTATTGAAGACAAACCCAGCGCCGGCACAACTACTACGATAGCCCAGATACAGACTCTGCACTCAGCAGATTACGAACATGAAAACTGAAAATACGAAAGAGGTACACATCTCCAATGCGGCCCTCCACGGCACTGCTTCATGCAACAGCTTTGCATCTCGCTTCATGCTTCCCGCTACTAGCAAAGTTACCCCGGGATCACGAAACACCGCTGTCGGATGCAAGGCTGTTTTAAACGGCAGCCGTCAAGACACGGCTGCATGGCAGTGAGCGAATCGCATAAAACTTCGCAAGCCAGGACAGCCTACACGGCAGCCTCGCCTCCGGCGGCGGCCGTCTCCGCCTCTGCCGGCGGCTTCTCGCCCATCTCCGCAGCAATCTCTGCGGCGCGCTCCTCGCGCAGCTCCTTGGAGACCACCCTGTAGCAGCCGCCCATCCACCACCAAGCGATGAAGCCGGCCACGGCGCCAAGGGCCAGCAGCGTGACGACGATGCCGCCGGCAATGCTGGCTCCATAAAGCAGAGAGATGGCCAGGGCCACACCAGGCAGAGCCACAAACATCACCAGGATGTAAATCAGGGGCACCAGGCGCCAGTAGGAGGCATAGAAGCCCAGCAGGCAGGCGGCCTTGATGGGGATTCGGCGCATGAAAGGTACTGGAAACCAAATCAGGATACCAAAAATGTTGAAGAGCAAATGGACGAAGGCGATCTGCAAGCTGTCTGGCTTCATGACCGCAATGGCGGCCAACATTGAGGTAAATGTCGTACCGATGTTGGCCCCAAGAGTCATCGGGAACATCTTGTGCACGGGCAGCACGCCAACCCCGCAGAGCGGAGTCAGGGTGGAAGTCGTCACAGAGCTGGACTGCACGATGAATGTGATGCCAAGGCCGACCAAGATTGCCACATAGTCGTTCATGTTCGTGGCACGCATGATCACCTTCTTTGCGGTGCCCATGATGAGACTGTGCAGGAGCTTCACCAAACAGAACAGGGTGCCGGTGACGATGATCAGCGAGAAGATCAACCCCACGATGCCGCCAGCAACATCACCCATGCCGGAAAAGGCGCCTCCGTCCAAGATAGTGCCACCCTCGATGGACTGCGTATAAAACTTGTCAGCTTCCAAGTAGCAAGTGTCCGAGCCGCAGCCATGATTCAAGAGCGGGAAGTAGGTGCTGCACTCTGCCAGGGCGGCATAGGCGTCCTTGTCGACCTTCTTCCAGTTCTTGCTCATGGACGAGGAAACGCAGAAGTAGTGGCTGCAGTCCATGGTGCTCGGGCAGCTTCCCGTTAGGCCAGTCGGCATGGCCTGGGCCTTGGGTGCACCCATAGAAAGCGACTTCGTGACATCCTTGTTCGGGTCCACAAAAACATCGGTCAAAGGGGAAACGATGAACTTGGTCGGAGAAGTAAATGTGACATCTGTTTCCGGTCCGACAACGGCCTCTGTGATGCCCTTTGAGATGTAATACAAGATCCCACCATCCCCGGTAATGGCTCCGATGATGACCTCCTCTGGCAGCATGACGAGGACACTGAGGAAGTTAAACATATCATGAACCTCAGGGGGCAGGTGAATGGCAAGCCCTTAGTCCTGCTCTTCACTGTCACATCATCGGAAGACACCAACGGAAAAAGGGAAGCAGGCTACTGTTGGATGACCTAGGAACTGTGGCACCGGAAAAGGCACGCTCAAGCTCAAGACGTTCACCGGCATGTGCCATGGACACAATGGTGTTTGTCACGGATGTGCCGATGTTGGCACCCATGATGATGGGGATCGCGTACTTCACGCTCACCTGGCCGGCACCAACCAAGCCAACCACGATCGAGGTGCTTGTGGAGGAAGACTGAACAAGGACCGTCGCCAAGATGCCAACCATCAAACCCGTTATGGGATTGTCCACAATCGTAAATAAGTCACCAGCACCTTTGCCTCCCAGCACAAGGAAGGAGCTGCCCATCATGTCCAATCCCATCAAGAAGAAGTAGATCGAGGCGAGCACTCCGATGATCTTCGCGAAGGTGATGACGATCACCTGCCCCTGGTCCATCGGCTTCGCGGCTGCGTCGGCCATGGTTCGAAGAGATCGGAGCTCTGGATGCGAAGTCGCGAATCGATCCGAAACTGCCAGGCCGAAGGTGCTGCTCCCACTCAGAGGCGACATGAAAGGCAGCCAACGCCAGAAGCCTAAACCTTAGACTCCCTAAACCCTGCAAGCAAGTCAACTCTTCACCCCATTCCGAGCTCTCTGATAGCCGCTGTCCGATACTCGTTTTTCTTCAGTCTGGCTCTCAACCGCGGTCTCCTGTAGCGCAGGATCTTTGACCCTTCACGAGACCGTGGGATGCGAGCTTTGCTCAAGCATCTGCAGCTGCATCAACGTTTTTACGACACTGCAAGTGCGCGGGTTCTCCCGCGCTCAAGCGTCAAGAGTGGAAGTGCCTGCTGGCTGGGCCTCAGCAACTGCTCGTGAATCTCGAGGGCTCCCATTCGAGCAGATCAAAGGGACTCTTGCACGATCAGTCGCTGCACTGCCATGGGATTTCGATGCTCCTGTGACGTTTACTGGACGGTATTGAAGACAAACCCAGCGCCGGCACAACTACTACGATAGCCCAGATACAGACTCTGCACTCAGCAGATTACAAACATGAAAACTGAAAATACGAAAGAGGTACACATCTCCAATGCGGCCCTCCATGGCACTGCTTCATGCAACAGCTTTGCATCTCGCTTCATGCTTCCCGCTACTAGCAAAGTTACCCCGGGATCACGAAACACCGCTGTCGGATGCAAGGCTGTTTTAAACGGCAGCCGTCAAGACACGGCTGCATGGCAGTGAGCGATTCGCATAAAACTTCGCAAGCCAGGACAGCCTACACGGCAGCCTCGCCTCCGGCGGCGGCCGTCTCCGCCTCTGCCGGCGGCTTCTCGCCCATCTCCGCAGCAATCTCTGCGGCGCGCTCCTCGCGCAGCTCCTTGGAGACCACCCTGTAGCAGCCGCCCATCCACCACCAAGCGATGAAGCCGGCCACGGCGCCAAGGGCCAGCAGCGTGACGACGATGCCGCCGGCAATGCTGGCTCCATAAAGCAGAGAGATGGCCAGGGCCACACCAGGCAGAGCCACAAACATCACCAGGATGTAAATCAGGGGCACCAGGCGCCAGTAGGAGGCATAGAAGCCCAGCAGGCAGGCGGCCTTGATGGGGATTCGGCGCATGAAAGGTACTGGAAACCAAATCAGGATACCAAAAATGTTGAAGAGCAAATGGACGAAGGCGATCTGCAAGCTGTCTGGCTTCATGACCGCAATGGCGGCCAACATTGAGGTAAATGTCGTACCGATGTTGGCCCCAAGAGTCATCGGGAACATCTTGTGCACGGGCAGCACGCCAACCCCGCAGAGCGGAGTCAGGGTGGAAGTCGTCACAGAGCTGGACTGCACGATGAATGTGATGCCAAGGCCGACCAAGATTGCCACATAGTCGTTCATGTTCGTGGCACGCATGATCACCTTCTTTGCGGTGCCCATGATGAGACTGTGCAAAAGCTTCACCAAACAGAACAGGGTGCCGGTGACGATGATCAGCGAGAAGATCAACCCCACGATGCCGCCAGCAACATCACCCATGCCGGAAAAGGCGCCTCCGTCCAAGATAGTGCCACCCTCGATGGACTGCGTATAAAACTTGTCAGCTTCCAAGTAGCAAGTGTCCGAGCCGCAGCCATGATTCAAGAGCGGGAAGTAGGTGCTGCACTCTGCCAGGGCGGCATAGGCGTCCTTGTCGACCTTCTTCCAGTTCTTGCTCATGGACGAGGAAACGCAGAAGTAGTTGCCGCAGTCCATGGTGCTCGGGCAGCTTCCCGTTAGGCCAGTCGGCATGGCCTGGGCCTTGGGTGCACCCATAGAAAGCGACTTCGTGACATCCTTGTTCGGGTCCACAAAAACATCGGTCAAAGGGGAAACGATGAATTTGGTCGGAGAAGTAAATGTGACATCTGTTTCCGGTCCGACAACGGCCTCTGTGATGCCCTTTGAGATGTAATACAAGATCCCACCATCCCCGGTAATGGCTCCGATGATGACCTCCTCTGGCAGCATGACGAGGACACTGAGGAAGTTAAACATATCATGAACCTCAGGGGGCAGGTGAATGGCAAGCCCTTAGTCCTGCTCTTCACTGTCACATCATCGGAAGACACCAACGGAAAAAGGGAAGCAGGCTACTGTTGGATGACCTAGGAACTGTGGCACCGGAAAAGGCACGCTCAAGCTCAAGACGTTCACCGGCATGTGCCATGGACACAATGGTGTTTGTCACGGATGTGCCGATGTTGGCACCCATGATGATGGGGATCGCGTACTTCACGCTCACCTGGCCGGCACCAACCAAGCCAACCACGATCGAGGTGCTTGTGGAGGAAGACTGAACAAGGACCGTCGCCAAGATGCCAACCATCAAACCCGTTATGGGATTGTCCACAATCGTAAATAAGTCACCAGCACCTTTGCCTCCCAGCACAAGGAAGGAGCTGCCCATCATGTCCAATCCCATCAAGAAGAAGTAGATCGAGGCGAGCACTCCGATGATCTTCGCGAAGGTGATGACGATCACCTGCCCCTGGTCCATCGGCTTCGCGGCTGCGTCGGCCATGGTTCGAAGAGATCGGAGCTCTGGATGCGAAGTCGCGAATCGATCCGAAACTGCCAGGCCGAAAGTGCTGTTCCCACTCAGAGGCGACATGAAAGGCAGCCAACGCCAGAATCCTAAACCTTAGACTCCCTAAACCCTGCAAACGCTTAGCCAAAGGGCTGTAGGAAACGATGTTGGGCTTCAGAAACCGGCTGCCCATGCCGCGGATGAGGTACAGAGCCGATTGCCACTCCTTGCGGCTTGAAGTCCGTACTTCTAAAACACCCAAACCGGGGTTTCAGGTTCGGGGAATTTTGGACTTGAGAACGCGCTCAAGCTAGCACAACCTTAAGTTCCAACGTTTGTTGACAGGAAGGGGCAGGGGCATATCCGCTGTGCCGGGAGCGCATCGTGGGGTATGTGATGGTATAGTCGGCCCTAAGGAAATAAGGGAACGGTTGCCGGCATGGCTTCTGTGGCATTGCCAGGTGTCAACCATGGCACGCTTCCGAATTTAGGTTCAGGCCTGTTCAGAGCTAGGAAGCCCCGAGCTGAAGATCTGGGTTTCTGGTCCTGGACGGGTCTCTTTTGGCCTTAAGCCCCAAAGACTGCTCAAAAGGAGAAGCCCATGGGGCCACTTCCGCCGACAGACCACGGACGAAACAGCCCAGCTTCCTGCCCCTTCTCGCAAGCGCTGATGGCCGAGCTCACGCTAATGACATTCGGTCGCAAACTCCTGAAATGTCGCATCAGCGATGAGGGAGACGGGACCGGACGGATGCTGATGGTGGAAAGAGAATGACGATCATTTCGGGCGATAAGAAAACACGACGAATCATCCCTGCAATGGCAGCGTCCGTGATCATGCCATGCGGACCAAGGCGATGACTACGGCCACTACGGCGCAAACGTAAGTTCTGCCGACAATAATGACGCTAACTAGGACTGACCAGGATGATGAAAATACTTACCATCGTCATAAACTGCACGACCTACATCAAAAGTATGGCCATGAAAGATATGACGATCACATTGAATGAATGAACGATGATGACAGCATGATTATGCACATGACGATGATGCTGATTGTGATGAGTGCGGAGACTAGCAGAAAGATGTTGATGCACTTGGTGAGCTGATCACAAGTTACACGATAGCGATGTTGAACAACAACAAGTAGAGCATTCGTGACGGTTAAGACGGAGGCAAGCAAGATGATGACGAGGACGATGGTGACCGATGGTGGTGACACTTACGGTGATGTTGACGTGCGAGCATGGGAGAGGAAGGCTGCAAGAAAATCAAACCACCATGACAACGACGGCCATGCATATGATACCCGGGATGCCGACTCCTGCTACCATGCGATTGTAAGCCATATGACTCATGTTGGCACCAAAATGATTTATCGATTCAATAAACATAAAACTCATGACCGTGTGACTGCCAAAACTCCATTCGATCCGATCACCTACTTTGCCTTGTTACTGTTGATCTTTTGCCTACTACCCCTACCAACTTGCTACTCCATCCTGCTGACTACTGCGAACTGCTATGTACTGCCTTGATTCACTACCTAACGCGACGTACTACAACCACTGCCAGTACCACTACCACCACCACCACCACCACCACCACCACCACCACCAATACGACTACTACTACTACTACTATTACTACTACTACTTACTACTACTTACTCCTACTTACTCCTACTACTGCCAGCACTCCTCTGCTACTCCACTACTAGTAGGTGACAACGACTAGTACTTCGACCACTACTATTTACTATCACCACTGCTACTCCTCGCCCTCCTCCCGCTTCTCCCCCTCCCCTCCTCCTCCTGCTCTCCTACTCCTCATCCTCCACTCCTACTCCTACTCCCACTCCCACTCCCACTCCAACCCCTACTCAGTAGGCCCCACTCCTACTCCTAGTCCTGCCTACCCAGCATCACTGCTACACCACGGCGGCTGCGACGACGACGAAGACAATCGCTACTCTGCCCTCTCTCGCAGGCTCTTTCTCTTGCAGATCGTGAACCGAGACCTTCAGCCGCGAAGGCCTAACTCTTCAAACCCTTGAAGCCCGAAAAGCCCTGAACCCCAAAGCCTCAAAAACGGACTAGACCTGAAGCTGCTCTTCCCGAGCAGCCCGAGCACTCACGTGCCTGCTGTCAGCTTCTTGAAGCAAAGCCAGGGCCTCCGTCCTCATAGTATGTAAGTTTAGTGAGTTTCGTGAGTTTAGTATGTGTGTGTCAGGTTTTGGCGATGGGGTCTTGTAAGGAATTCGGTCGGTCGCCAGGAGTTTAGCATCCAGGTTCTGGTTTGCAGCTGCGGGGTGCTTGGTGAAAGTCGGGCGCCAAATGGCTTTCTATGCACCCTCAACAGGGCTGCTGGACTGTAGCTTGTAACATTTAGAATTTAGGGTTTAAGGCAGTTTATATATAGGCCACTTCAGAATTTTATCCTAGACCCTCAGCAGGCGGAAGTTCAACGGAAGTAAGAAGAATGCCCATGACCACAGCG